GAGGGTTTTCTGTCAACCCATCCCACCTAGGGCAGCTAGCTCCTCGCAGGGTCTGAGGGGATCAGAGCCCTGCTGTCGGGAGGGAGAGCTGGTGGCCGCACCCACAGCTCACTCACCTACCCCAGGAGGCCTGGGAGCCTGATTCTTTCTCTGTACTCCCACCGCCCTGCTCCTGGCTCAGAACTACCTGAAGCAACACCTCCACAGGGAAGCCTTCTATGATTGTCTCCAGCTAGGTTAAATGCCTCCTCCACATCTGCCCAGGCCTTAGTACTTAGAATGAAATAGAGTCCCCACCCTGCCCCACAGGACTCTGCAAGTTTGGCCACTGAGACCGTCCCTTTTTAAGAAAGATCTCTAGGAGCAAAAAGAGCTGGGAAGAACGCAGACTATGAACCTGGGTTCAAGGGCAGACTCTGCCGTGTGGCCTCGGAAGGGTTACTCCCTGCGTTGGGCCACGGCTGCCTCTCCCAAGCCGGGGGACATAGTGCGTCACCTGCTAGAAGCCTGCCTCAGGCCTGCTGAGCCCTGGGACACAGCCAGTCCAGACTGAGCTGTGCTGTGTAGCATGCCCTCTGGATTCCTAAGACTTTGCAGGAATAAAGAAAGCGAAATCACTTGCTAGTGACTTTTAGTACATGTTGAAATAATAATTTTTGATACCTTGCGGTTAACAAAATGCGTTTCTAAGTTATTTTCACCTGGCTTGTCGTCGTCACTTCTTTTCCTGTGGCCACCAGAAAATGGAACATTCCGTGTGTGCCTCGCAGTGCGGCCCTCGTCCTGTTCCTGTGGACCATGCCATCCAGGATGGCCATTGCTGGGGTTTGGGTGGAGACCTGGTCAGGCTCTAGGGCTCAGGTGTGTTTGGGGTCCTACCTGGCGAGGAGTCAGGGCCTAGGCATGGGCTCACTGACCCCTGGCTGCTGAGGACCCCCAGGCCGGACTCTGCACCCTCTGAGCTTGCTTTCTGCATCCGTAAGAGGAGGGCTGGGCAGGGGCAGGGGCAGGGGCAGGGTTTTCAGCCAGTTTGGGGCTGTTGTGGGCAGGGGAAGGCTGAGTGAGGGTGGAGGAAGGCCTGCCCCTCCCAGGTCACTCTGCTGGGGCCCTGCCCAAGGCCAGCCCATCTCTGCCTCTCTCCCTACCCTCTGTCTGCCAGACGTGATTCCTCGATGCACCCATTTCTAGGAGGAGAGCAGTGGCTGAGAAACACGGTCTGGGTTCGAGGGCCGGCTCTGCCCTCCTAGCTCTGATCCTGGCAGCACCAGCCCTGCTAAGTCCAGCTCCCTGCCCCACTGTGGGAGGGAAGATGGGTGTATTCCGGAAAGAGGTCACGATGTGCCCCTCCCACTCTCTCAGCCAGACAAGGCCACACTGCTGGACACCTCAGACCCAGCCAGGGGACATCGCTTACCATGCTCCTGTCACCACCGGGCCAACTGCTAGGTGGGAGGGGCCTGGGTCAAGGCAGGGGGCCAACAGCTCACTCTCATCACCCCTGGTTCCATGGAGGATCAGGTTCTTCAGGGTCCCTCCAATTCTGCCTGTGGGCAAGGGGGCAACAGGGAAGGCCCTGCGGGCTGGGCCTTGGGCTGATTTCTGTTTTGCAAAGACTTGTCTGGGTAGTATGCTGAAATGAGCTCCTCGGGGAGGAAGGGCAGGGAGGCAGGGAGGCAGGGGGCGTTACCCAGCTAGAACAGCAAGACATGGAGGTGGGGAGCAGGGGCCGGATTCTGGAGATATTCTGGAGGCAGATCCTGCGGCTTCCCTGAAGACTGAGTGTGGGGTGTAAGAGAAAGATGGCGTGGGGTGCAGCTGGTGAAGGTTAAGGCAGCTGGATCCCATGTGGCCAGCTGTGTGGTTGGAGTCCCACACCCAGTGGTGGGCATGTATGCGTGTGCCCAAAATCCCCAGAGACAATGGAGGATGGAGAAGGGACCATGACATGGCAGGGGTGATTTCTCACTTTCCCTCTCTGTCTCCAGTGAGCTTGCGCACCTATAACAAACTTTTTACAGAGAAAGATGAGAGGGGGCCCAGGATGACTGAAGTTTTTGGCTTGAGCACCTGGAAGGACAGCGAGTGGGGAGTGGTGGGGAAAGGAACGGTCCCTCCAGGAGCCCGACTGGCGTCCGGGACGGGTAAGGACAGTCCAGCTCTCAGACTGGCTGCTGAGGCAGGCACACCATACCTCTGATGGACTCATTCCTATTAAAGGGGCTCTGTTTGCATAACAGTGCCCATCCTCCCCCACTCCCCCTC